TGTTGGTCGAATTGTCTGGACGCGATGTTTCATAAAGTTACGAGGGTTTAAAGATATGGGTAATTTGGGACTATTAACGAGCGATGTATTTTACTCTGTTAACGCATAAACGGAGGTTAAATGGACGGAAATAGGCAATTTGTCGTAATTTCTACGTTACTAAGAGCTAAATCTATAACTTTGTACTTTATATTGCTTGTGGGGTGATGATTTTAAAAAAACTCAAAATTTATATAGTTTTTTTGCTCTTAAAATTGATCATTTTTTTAAAGTGAACACTGCTTCATAGACATTAAAAGACAGACGGTACTTTCTGGGCTTTGCCCTGATACGAGCAGACTTGTTTTTACTTAGTTGCTATATCGTTTCATTTTTGGTCCGGTTGCAATGGTGTGTTTGTGATATTGCAGCGGGTTGTGAGAAAGTTGGGTGGTGCGCTCTGAGTCTTAAGTTCATTTCAAACTCATGTGCTATAAAGAAGGTAATTTACGCTCTCCAATAACAAAAGACTAAACGGCGCGAAATAACTTCAGTGATTTCAAAACTTCGAAAATCGATAAGAAATGTTACTTTTTGATTAGTTGCCTAGAGTTGGGTGAGTTGATTTCTCAAAGAATTAAGAATCAGAAAAACTTGGTCATGATTGGTTAGTTCACTTTTTAGCCTCTCAAATAATGCTATATCAAGCAGCATCTAAACATCGTGCTTGGTTCAATTGCCAACAGAGCACAATTTAGAGAGAATTTTTATTTAATGAAAACAAAACACTTGATCCAAGTAATAGCTGAAAATGAGGCCTTGAATTGATTTGAGTTATCATTACCCTTGTGATCGGCAAGGGTGTTGCAACCGGGTTGTACATTTTTTCCCCGGGTGGTTTATTGTTATGCTTTTATGTGTTTCAGAACGGATGGGTCGTAAAAACTTTTAATGAAGCTCAATTTCTTATGAGAAAAGTTTTCTCGGCTCAACAGGGGTCAACTCATATTCGGTAGTCTTTGTTTCCGCTCGGTAATTGTTTCCAAATGCTTTTCAAGCTGTTTATGAACATAATCCAATACAACCATGAAATTTTCGTCTGTGTATTTCGAATTTTTTCGAGCAATTTTGTAGACTTTAGTTTTTTTATTAAAATGTCTGTTTTTCTATTCACTATATCATACCGCCTTGGTTTTAATTGTATCGCAATTGTTGCCAAGCTCTGTTTCTCTTCTCTATTGATTATGGTTAAGATATGTTTAAGTAGCCTTAAAAAACTCGATCAATCTTTTGTGCAACCGGTTGCTACATGTTTTTTAAATGAGAGGAAAGGCACTGTAGATTGTATCTTAAAATGAATGTTTTAAATGGGCATACTAATCGACACATTTAATAATAGGCCGGTTAGTGGATAAAAAGGTTAAATAGAATGCTTTTGTCTGAATGTGGAACGAGTGAAATGAGTGAAAATGGAGGAAAAAACGCTTTTAATTCCCTGAAAATGATATATTATATATGCCTCTTCTTTTTATCCCAAGTAAGACCGAGAGCAACACCATTTGCTAATAACCAACACAGCACACACAAACACACAATGCACGATATATACAAACTGCTACCACCGAAATCGATGCATATTACTGCATCATTCTAGTACCAAAAAGTAGCGGATAAAGGGGACATTTTAATGTGCTACTGGGAAAGAAGGAACACAACACAGAATCGCAATGCAATGCAACCGCCGGAGGGTAGAAAAAAAGAGAACAATTTAGAACGATTACAGAAGGCTACTTAGCTAGTCTGTGATTTACTAAGCACCACTTATTTTACAAATATTGATCTACTCTTCCTGAAAAAATTGTCGGTAAGTTTTAAAAATACAATCAATTGTTTCCAAGCTTTCTAAATCAATGATTTCAACTACTTTTCTACAATTTTTCAAGAATTATTTCGACCTGACTGTTTAGTTGTTAGTTCTGTATCATTTGTTGGGCAAAAATAGTTGCAGCTTCCACATACTGCTTATGCTTTTAACCTTTGTCGACGGGAAACGATCGTCGCGCTTACTAAGGGTACTAGACATGATATAGTTTTTTGCCTAAGTTTCTTCACAGAGTGACCATTTTAACCAATATTGGCAAACTCACCCTGTTTAATCTGGTGTCAATAAACGTAGTGAAAAGTCGTGTGGTGAAAAATATTATATTATGGCGCCGAAGGCGCCCTTAGAACAAATTTAGGGTCTGTCACCAAAGTGGATGTCTCAAAATAGTACGAACGGGGGACGGCTGAAGATTTAAGTGATTGGTTTTGACCATTGCACTCAATACTCAATTTATTCTTCTCGATGACTTTCGTTTCTCGTCTGAAGCTCTGTCAACCTGTATCCTGCTAGGTTACAGAACTTCTGTTTTTATAGTTGTGTGATTTGTAATTGTGGCTAAACGCGCGATGTTACTTTCTAAGATACGAAAAAAAAATCTGTTCATTGTAGCTTTTTTTAAGTAGACTCCTATATAGCTTTTAAGTTAACTTTTGCGCTGTTGACTTTTTTAAGTTCAGTTCTTTTCTTTTGTGTTTGTCAAGTGTAAAGGTCACGAAAAATGTGATCGACATCTAGATTCGAAGATGGATATCAATTGTCAGATATTCCAGCGAAAAAAAATCCCCGATTGATATAGTTTTCTCAAATTGAGTTAGTTTTTATCAACAATAAACTGAATCATAAATCGTTCTAGAAATTCAGACAGCTTTAAGGCTATCGTTTTTCTTCGAAATTCGATAGTTGACCTTTTTAAAAAATAAGCCAGTTTTTTTTCTGTTAATTTGCGTTCATTGGCTCTTTTCCAAGTGTAAGTTACCAAAAATGGCTGTTTTTATCGCGAAAAAGCGTTTACTCATTTTTGTTCTTTCTTAGTGTCAGTTTTTTGTCATTTGGAACGAGATTCTCAATTTTGTGTGAATGGGTGCTTTTCTTGTGCTTGCATGCTAAAAACTTTCCGATCACAGAAAAAAATTTAGGAGTGAGGCAATTATTTTGGAATTTTCGTTTTCTTGCGTTGAATTCATTTCCCCTTAGTTATAAGAAAGAATTAAATGCAGTTTCAGGACATTCAAATTCTTCCCGATACTTATGAATTAAGTTTTTCAGTTCTAAAAATGTTTGCTTCATTTTTGGGCCTTCTTTTGAGTCATTGTTTTGAATGAAATTGCACGTTGTTTTAAGAGTCGATGAACGTAGTTCAGTCTCTTATATAGTTCGCGATAATTTTTGTTGTTTTTTTGCCGGAAAATCGACTCTTTTGCGTTCAATGACTCTTTTTCGAGCGTCTGTTGGCGGTTTGTTTTTATTACGCCTGCGATAAGCAAGCGTTATTAAACTGGAATATAGACTTTTTTCGGGTTAATACTAGTTTAGCAAAATAGTTGAATCACTTTTTTCACTTCTGTTCTTCTTCTCTTCCTTTCTGTTTTTTTTACCTTCTCTACATGTTCCAGGTTGCTTCCCTTTGGACTGGAGGTAAAGAAGTTGCCTTTGTACCCTAAGGTCTGGGGTTCAAGTCGTGGCCGGATCTTGTTTTTTTTTCAGTATCAAGGAAATTGATAAAAAAAAGTTCCGAGAAAAATGAATTGTTGTTTTTTGGTTTGTTCGCTCAGGTTTTGTCGGCTAAATTTCCTGAACGGATTTCGCTTGTGCGGTACACACCTTTTATTGTAGTTGCAAGTGCTAGTGTTGTTCTTTCTAGTTTCAAGAGGGACTTGAAATATTTTTAATTTTTTTTTTCATAAAATCTTTTTTTTTCGGTCAGTTGGTGTCTGCTCGAAGATGGTCAGCTTAACATCTCTCATTTGTTTTTGATGCAAGCAGCTTTCATTGTAGTTGGAAGTGCAAGTGCTGTTCATTCTTGTTTCAAGGGGGACTTGAAAGATGAAAAAAATCATACAAATTTTTTTTGGTTCAAGTGGTTTCAGCTCAAAGATTGTTGGCTTAGTTGCCACATCACTGATTTTTCTTTGCTGTAAACACCTTTCATTGTAATTGCAATTGTTGTTTAAGGTGGGACGTTGAACTTTTTTCATAAAATTGTATTTTTTTGGTTGAACTTGTGTCTGCTAAATGATTATCGGCTTTGTCTCTTTTCGTAAATTTTGTTCCATTGTTGCTGATTTAAAGTTCAAGTTTCTGGCATGTTTGCCTGGAGTTAATGCCTATCGAGACATATGAAAGTTTGTTTGACATAGTTTCTTTTCAAAAGTTTTATTTTTTGGCTGTTTAAATGTTTATTTAATGTTAGTATTGTATCACAAGTGGTGCGAAGCCTCTGTGTCGTGCTTCTCTTTGTTATCTCCACGCGAGGAACAGTTTTTGCGATAAGAAAAATGTTACAAGCGGCAGAGGCGGATCATTTCCATGATTTTTGCTAAATGTGGTCTTCAGCGGACTATTTTTAATCGAAATTTCGTTTTGGCTGACTTTTTCAAAACAAAATTTCGTTCGTTTCAAGTAAAAACAGAAGCATGTTGGTCGTCAGATCAGATCAGATGAGAGAAGTGGCTGAGAAGTGCAGTGATAGCACTCAAATGTTACTCGATGATAAATGAAGTGTCTTTGATGGTAGATTAAATACACGAATAATTGTCACCACATTCATTAAAATACAGCAGCTGCAATATATTTATTCTGTCTGTTTATTATTAAACTGAGTATTTTTCTTACGATTAAGCGCAAAAATGCCACATAACTCATAAAAATATTTATTATTTTATTATAAAACGACGATTTGCTCGTTTGACAAGCTAAAACATTTGGCAGAGCTGAAGGCATACTTTTGTTCATAGCCAGTTCATTTCAGTTGTAGGTGATGGGAAAGTTGTTTAATTATATTTGGATTTTGTGTGAGTATTCTGTTGATTGTTATCACTGCTCACAAAAATGTGTTTAAAAGTCTTATGCTAGTTGCAATTGCACTGGAGGGGGGTACAATGTGTTCTGATTGTGTCCTTGACTGTGTGTGGTTTAGAATGGGTAGACTTCCGTGCCCGAGTGAGACGACAAGAGCGTGAAGGGGGACAATCTGACTCTCACCTACAGCCCACAACTCACACATCACCCCCACACAATACCACCTTTAGCAGCAGCAGCAGAAGCAAAGCGCCACCAGCAGAAGGGCTACACTCTCTGCACAGCCTGAACAACATCCACAGGAGCAGCCACCGCCACCTGCACCATAGTGATAACCAGCCAGAATACCCGCCTTCTTCTTCTTCTTCTCATTCGTATTCTGTCTCCTCCGATCTATCTCAGTCTGCTTCTGTACCCAGTTGTGCTTCCACAAGTGCTGCTGCAGTGAACTGTAGTGACCTCAGAAGTAATAATAAGAACACTGTCAATAGTAACAAAAGTGCCCCCCTTCAGCACTACAACAGTCATCCTCAACTACACCACACATCCTCCACTCCCTCTTCTTCGCCTCCTTCGTCCCCTGTAGAAAATTGGCTCAGCGACCAATTCAACTTCTCAGGTACACACACCTATATAATTATTAAGGGCAATGAACGTAGTGAAGACGCTTATATAGGTCTTGGTATTTTAAAAAGTCTTTTCAGGTTTAGTTCATTTCCATTGTTAAAAGGAAGGCACACTCCACAATCGAACAGCAAACTGTAAAGTTCACAAAAGTGGAATTTAATTATCCTATTTTCCAGCGAAATAAAACTTTTACCTATTGATCCAGTTTTCTCAAAAAATAGTCAGTCATAAAAATATGTCTTAGAAATAATTTTTTTTTCAATTTTTCTGCTAGAATTTTTTTTTGCTAATAAATGTTCAGTTTCTTTTTCGGATGCGTGGTTTCTGATTTTTTTTCTAGATGTGCGTGAAACTATTTATAGTTATAATTAGTTAGGTATGTTTGAGGTTTAAGCAATTTTATCTGAAATTGATTCAAGTTGATGGTTTAAAGTATTGTTTCATTTTGTCAAAAAAAAAATTCGAAAAAAATTGGTTTATTTCCAGATTTTTTTTTGCCAATTCGACTAGTTTTTTTGTTTATAAAGGAATGTGATGGCAAGATCTGCTAGAGATTCAGGCGCGTGGTTCTTTCTGGCTGGAGTTTTCGAAAACACATTCTTGTTTTTTATTTCCTCTTTTGACGTTTTTTCTAATGTTTTTGTTTTGTTGTGATCTTGCTCTTTTACTGTTGCGCATAAACTTCATAACTGATAATTCTTGATATTAGTGTGTTATTTTTATAGGCTTTCGGTTTTTTTCAGATTTTCTGCAATTTTTTTCGTGGCAATTGTTTGTAATTTTTGCATTCATGTGTTAACACAAGTAAAGCTTGTTTGGAAGTATGAACTCTCTTTTTTTTCCAACATAAGTCCGATCTATTAGACTATTATTTTACAAATAGCACTTTAGCTTCAAAATATCATGGATCTGTAGCGTAGAGGTCAGGAAGGAGATCCGCATCAAAATAAGAGGGTGACTGGGCAATGTCGGATGTTTTAACTTTTTCTGATACTAGTTTAAATGCGTCCGCTCTATAAACTGAAGCTTTTTAATTGGAATTTTTTTTCAAATTGACCGGTACTGCTAATGCGTCATAATTGGCTTGCGTCTTTTAGCATTTATGTAGACTCATAATTGGCGTGCGTCACATAAGAAATTTTGGAGACTCGACGTTTTATTCAGTTTTCCCGGTAGCGTTATCGGTCATATTTTTGCTTGTGTATGCGGGGGCGTTCAACAGTGCCGAAGTACAACAGTGCCGAAAAAGGCGGCAAAATTTCAGAATAATTTACGCGCATTTTCTAAGAGCGGTAAATTACTGACGCTAATTATCAAAGAAAATCACTCCAATTTTGGCGCCAATATGTCTGCAATTGCAAATTAAACAATTGTTTTGGCGCCAAAACGTCTAAGTTGCAAATTTTCTCATTCAAAATCTAAAAGTTTTACTTAAGATTGTAAACGATCGCTGTTTAATTTTTGATTGCCGCACTTAATATGTCGAAATTTATTCAAATTTTTGGCACGGTTGAACAAAGTTCTCATTTTCGGCACTGTTGAACAAAGTTTTCATTTTCGGCACTGTTGTACTGCCCCGTGTATGCGAAGTGCGACTTTTGCTTGTGTATGTGGAGTGTGTTTAAATTTTAATTTTCGTTTTGGTCTTATACTAAAGTGGATAAGGACTTCATCTCCGATTGTTGTTCTTGGATACGCAGATTGTTTGGTTGCAAGATTCAATAAACAGTCTTTGAGTACATTTAGGAATTACCGTATCTCAGTTTTTTGATCGAGATGTTTTCTTATTGTTTGCATCTATTGGTTATCAGAAAGAAATGGATGGAGTTAATCCCAAATCCTTCTTTTGTTTTGAAGGTAATTGACTTCTATAAAAATTGGATTTTTTTATCTGATTTTGAGCCTACGATTTCTTCAACAAATTTCATTCATGTTTTACATTTTTCGTTCAAGACACATTATTTTTTGATTTTTGGAGCTTTATAGTGTATCGCACGCGTGGTGCGAAGCTCAGCTTCGCCTCTGTGTAATAATTTATGAACGTATATGATCACACCACTCAATGAACGGGCAGTTGTGGTGATGTTCCACGAAAGTAATATGTCACTACTTGTGGAAAGTATCTTCATGTTTCTTACTTGTTGAACACGAATGGAATGCATCTATCTATCTATATCTATGTCTATATCTATCTATCTATGTCTATATCTATCTATCTATCTATCTATCTATCTATCTATCTATCTATCTATCTATCTATATCTATCTATCTGTCTTTCTATACTATATTTGAATGCGAGTGACAGCTGTCTTCCATGTTTAAGCATAATAATTTTGCATGTTTAATGAAAAAATTTTTTCATGTTTAAGCTATATCATATATTGCAATCTATCTATCTATCTATACTATATTTAAATGCGAGTGACAACTGTCTCCCATGCTTAAGCATAATAATTTTGCATGTGTAACGGAAGAATTTTTTCATGTTTAAGCTATATCATATATTGCAATGCTTAAGAAAATTAATTTTTCAGTATTTTTTTTTTTCGAGGCCAAATTAAGTCTGTCTGTCCGTCTGTATACTTGTTTTTTTTTTTAAATTAATTTGATTATATCTGTCTACCCGTCGCCTAATTTTTTAACTTTCATCTATTATCTATCTATTATATATTTAAATGCGGGCGTCACTATCTCGCCAGGCTTAAGCTTTTTTCAACGTATTTTTTTGCATGTTTAACAAAAGAATTTTTTCACGCTTAAGCTATATCGTATATTGCAATGGTTAAGTGTTTTTTAACGAATTTCCAGCTTAAATTCAGTGTTCATTCCATCAAGTTTAAAATAAGCAACCCGGTAGTAGGATATTGACAGAGTTTTCCCAGGTTTTGCGATTCTGGCCTCCATATATGAATAACCTATCCTTTTAGTTTACGAGATAGGCAAAATTTCTAAAAAATGTAATATAGAAAAATTTATCACTTTTAAAATTTCTCACCTGTAATTGAGTGCTGTCAGGGTACTCTCAAGGGTTGCGAATCTTGCCTCTGATTATGGTTGCTCAAATCCTCGTAGTTTTCGAGATATGACGTTTTTTTTGGATTTTTTCAAAATTTTTCAGAAAACTTAGATATAAAAAATTTCTCAAAACTTGAATTTACCATCTCTGTAGTGAGACTCTGTCAGGTACTCTCAGGAGTTGCGAGTTTTGCCGCTAAGTATGACTGCTCAAATCTTTGTATTTTTTGAGATATGACGTTATTTTTACTTTCTCCGAAATTTTCAAAAAACTTAAGTGTTAAAAAATTCCAAAAATTTTGAAGATCTCAATCCTGTTATTGGAATCTGTGAGGGTACTCTCAGGGGTCGCAATTCTTGCATCTGAATCTGGCTGCTCAAATTCTTGTAGGTTTCGAGTTACGACGTTTTCTTAGGTTTTTTTTTCAAAATTTTTCAGAAAACTTAGGTATAAAAAATTTCTTGAAACTTGAAATTTTCATCTCTGCAGTGAGGCTCTGTCAAGGTACTCTCAGGAGTTGCGAGTTTTGCCTCCCATTTTGACTGCTTTTCAAAGGTTTAATGAAAATTAAATTAGTTTTTTTTCGAAGTTTGAATTTCCGAACCTTCAGAGTATTCTCAGGGGTTGCAATTTTTGGCTCGAATTAAGAATGCCCAAATCATTTTTGTTTAAGAGATACGACGAGTTTTTTGGAATTTTCTAAAAACTCAAATAATAATTCGTTAAAGTGAAATTCCCAACCCTGTAGTTGTGTACTTTCGAAGATAGCGAATATTGCCATAAAAAAACTGCTCAAATTTTGGTAGTTTTTCAGATGTGAATACCTTTTTTTTGGAAAACTTCATGTGAGGTTTCTCAAAATTTGAATTTCCCAACGTTGTAGTTGGGTACTGTAAGAGTACTCTCAGGAGTTGCAAATCTTGCGTTCAAATGCGACTGCTCAATTGCTTTCAGTTTCCCAGATGTAATGTTTCTTAATTCATTTTAAGTTTTTCGAAGAAGTTATATAAAGTTTCACAAAATTTTATGGTTTTTCAAAATGTATATAAAAAACTTGAATAAAAAACTTTGCAAAATTTGTAATAACGAACCCTGTAATTGGGTGACTGGGTTCGAACCATGTGATTGGGTGCTGTCAGAGTACACTCAAAGAATAGTTTCGTGAGTTGTTGAAAATTCAAAGCACCGGAGGTGGGTTACACGCTAGTTATTTTTATGTGTGTTGTGTTTGCAGAGGAGGAGTTCCGAGAGCGTGAGTTGTTCTCGTCGAAGCAGCAGACGTTTGTGTATTGCAAGAACCTCAGAGGCCACTGCAGTGTGACCAACTGCAGAGACATCACTGAGGCACTAGAGTTCGATCCCCTGCCCGACCACTTCTTCTTCGTGCTGCAATACAACCCACAGAACAGGTCAGTCACAGCCGCCTCTCGAGTTGTCGTTGTCTAGAATAGTTGTCTCATTAGAGCTTTCTTTCACTTTTGATCACCATCTACTTCAGCGATGCGTAGTATAATACTACTAACCCTAGTAGAAAGTAAAAGTTCTCAGTTGGTGGCATTTTTGATAAATTTCCAGACATTGGCAATTTAATAGCATCTGTACTTGCATTTTTGATGGGTATAGTTGGTTTATTTAAGAACCGAGCGATGTTTTCAACCGATTTTGGCGCAGATGGGAGGACGTGAGACTCCTAATCTGCAGGTTGGAGGTTCTTTTCCGGCAGAACAGAAAGTTGTATTTAACCTTTTCTTTCATGATTTCACTTTTTCACATTGCTACAGCTGCTTTCTGCCGTTTTTTGCAGAGTGCAGCTTCGCCTCTTTCTAAAGACATGTCGCCTTCCATAAAATTGTCTGTTTTTTGCGAAGTGTCTAGCTATCGGATTAGCGAGTTAATAATGGTTGTCATTCTTCATTTTTTATGTGGATTCATTCGATTTTATTTCTATCTCGATGTTGTTCTATATGTGCTGTTCCGTTGGAGTTCTGGATTTTTATGGCCAGATTTAGGATTTGGTTGGCGATTATTTATTACTAGCTGTAAGTTCCAATCTGCCTTTTTTAGCTCCTCTTTTTTCGCATCAGTGATGTGTTTTTCGCTCTCGATTGCGTGTTGGTGTTCTGAAGTGAAGCGAAGTGCAGTTAAGTGTAGGGCAAAAGAAAGAAAGAAAGAAAGAAAGAAAGAAAGAACCAAAAACCATAGATAGGAAGGACAGTAGACATGCCTGTCGTATATTTTGAATCTATTCTTGGGGGTGTTTTTCAGTTTAAAGTAAACCAGATAATCTTCTATTTTAAAAATGTGAAGTATTAAGTGAGAACAATGGACTTCATGCTCTCTGCCAGTATTGCCTACCCAAACCTAGTTGTGTATTAAGTAGTGCAATACTCTTGATGCTGCTGGTAATATTACATAACTGAGTTATGACTGGGGTGTATAACTCATAGAGTAATTTCGGATAGGGTACACCGTCTGCTCGTCACGCTATCTTATTTTCGGCCGGATAGATTCGTGCAACTTCTTAGTCTAATACCGATCCTAATCTTACTCTTATACTATCTAGTCTCAGGTTGTTTAACTAGTCTCTGCTAGGCTCAATAGATCTAGGGTATACTGGTTTATTGCGGCTGCTGAAGTGCTCGGGAGAGTCCAACTAATTTCTAAGTTAAATTCAAATCTCTCTGGTGCTGAAATTACAAGTAACTTCAGCACTTACAAATAAGTGGGTTGTTAGTTAGATGGATCATGATTGGTTAATATTAAATACTTTACATTGGTAAAACATTTAATTTATCCAATCATAAAATATAGTTTAGATCAGGTTCCATAACAGCGTTTTCTGTGAAAGGTATCGACTTGTTTGGTAGCTGTTTAAACAGATCAAATATCTGCTAAATGCGGTGCTGAGTGGGACTGGATGTAGACATGGACATGTTAGTAAGGAAAAGGCAGTCACTCATTACAGTAACACCATCGCATCACCTGTTCTCTTTACTACCTAGCTCCGGCAGCTAGTGAGCCTAGCAATTCATTCTGTCGGAAATTAACTTTACTGCTCATTGTTCTTGTTTCTTTTTCTATTGTAATGATCCTTTTTCATTAAGCGTGCATTTAGAAATGTTTTACCAGCTACATACACAAAACAAAAGCTAAATTATACGGCTGGATGGAAATGATAAAGAGCAGTACTGCTCATCGAGTAGGTTATCCTGGAGAGGAATAGAAGATAGTCCTTTAATCATACAAGTGGGCTCAAGTTGAATAACATTTCATAAACGCCCCGATTTTCTTACAAATTAGTAATGAAAAACTGCTTAGAGAATCTGATAAAGCTGAATTGAGACATTTCATGGATGTTTTTAGCTATCAAATGATTCTGTGTTAAGGAATTTAAAGTCTTTACAACTTTAACAGAGAGCGATCTGTTCTTAGCAGTTGTCAAAGTTTTTTTATTGCTCGTGATCCAAATTGTTCAGTATACATTTGAGACAAAAATTTATGTTTTTTTTTCGATCTGAATTCATTGAATAGATACTTGAACAGTTAGAGAAAGTAACACTCGAAAACTTGAAGCAAATCGTTTTCGTCATTTAGATTTTTGATTAATTCATTCTACGTTTGAAAAAATTTCCCTCAAAATGTCATCCTCCCCACTCCACATGAGAATGAGGATTTGAAGTTAAATTTGTAGCCTACATTTTGATAATTGTAGGAAATCAAGCCGCGCTTTTAAACTCATCATCTTTTTCATCCTTGCCATTGTTTTGAACAACTGTTTGTGGCAGGGGCGGATTTAGTTTTTTTCGAGGGGAGTCGACCTTTTTTAGATCAACCAAATTGATATTTGCGAGCATTCCCAGAACAGTATTACACAAGCTAACTTAGTGAGCGTTAGCAAGGTGGCCAGGGTATCAGTGGAGGTCACACTGTCAGTGCTATATCAGTGCCAGCAAATGAATATCAGTGCCATTTTTTCATCGAGCTTCTTTACTGAATCGTTCAAAATCAAAAATGGAAGCTGGCTTACGCAGTATAACATTTTTTCAAGTAGTAGGAGCTGATGTGAGGAGAGGAAATAAGTTGGATCAAACAAAAGCTTAAAATGATTTGTATTGAAGCATTCTGTTAGAAATGACAGTAGATTTTTATTCAAAGTACAAACTATGCATCTCTAATAGAAGAGCCCATAATCTTTTTAGTCTGTTCAAATATGTTTTGTTTGTTTTGATTGGAGCCACGGTAGATCTGTTTTTGATTTCCACTAGTTGCTATGTCTGTCTGTTTGTTTGTTTGCTTGTTTGTGTCGTGGTGGTGAATGTGATCAAATTGAGTTGAGTTGAATTGATTCAATCGGAATCTAATCGACTGACAAAATTTAAGTCAACAAGCAATGGAGCAGTGCTGCTGCTGCTGCTGCTGCTGCTGCTGCTGCTGCTGCTGCTGCTGCTGCTGCTGCTGCTGCTGCTGCTGCTGCTGCTGCTGCTGCTGCTGCTACTGTGGCTGATACATATTGTATAATGAACTAATTTGCTCCATTTGCCCACTTGTGTTCCATGTATGATAGATATATCATTTGCTGATTGTTTGTTTCGTTCTACCAGCAGAATGTGCTCTTCTTTTCTTTCTCTGTTCTTCCCTAGTTGTTTGGGAGCTGAACTAACTGCCCTAGAAGCGCAAGTGAAGATTGCTGTGGTGTGAACAGTGTGGTGGCGGTGGCGGTGGCTTCAAATTCAGTCGTCATTCTCTACCTTACTTCTTTTGTTCGATTCTGTCCAAATCGACTCAATTCCTTCTCTTTCCCTCTTTTCTCTCTATCTTCCATTTCACTCTAGTTGGTGTTGTGTGATCGAGTGTAGTGGAGTGTGACAAACTAACCTTTTCACGCTCCCTCATTCATTTCTTCCATTCCATTCCAACTGTGTTTCTAACTTGCTCTTTCTTTCTCCAACCAGTAGGACAGACAAGGGAATAGCACCAGCTAACAACCAGACCAGACCAGACCAGACCAGACTAGACAAGCTAACCTAACTATTTGTAATACTCAATTCCTTACACATACCCATACCATACCCACTGGAGAACAGTTATTACAGCCTGCCTTCAGTCCGTCCAGTTATAGTTATACTATCCACCATTTCCTTCTTCCACCATAATGCCACTAAGCTCCAATTACTCAGCGCATTCGTCAGTTTAGATCTAGATCCTATTTTACCATTTGTCTTTTGTTCTTCTTCTTCTTTCCACAGTCAGTTGGTGAATTTGAGACACCTTTAAGAGTCTGTGCTGTTGTTGTAGCCTGTTTAAGAAGGCGGCTTGGGGTTGTTACATTGGCAACCACTTACTTAGCAAACCCCCCCCCCCCCTCTCTCTCTCTCTCTCTCGGCTAAGTGCGATTAAGTAGAGACATAATTTCACACTTACTTCACTCGTTTCCTCGTCTTACTCTCTCCTCAATCCACAGAATTGAATTAAATCACACTACACGCAGAGGCGAGAAGAGGAGGAGAATTAAAACACGTAGTGTGTTGTGTTGTGTTGTGTTGTCGGTGTTTCCAAATCCACTCCACTCATGGTGAGTGATCAAAAACATTTTGCCAATCAAATTCAAACCGTCTCCATATGTAGTATACTCTGACTGCGCCATGATTTTGCTTAATCTCTAGAACGGACAAACGTATGATTTGTCACTGTTTGTACTAGACCGCTGCAAGTTATTGTCTTCAGCCTTAGTTCAATTTTAAAAGGGTTATTTGCAGGAGTAAGGTATTGAGGGAGTTCACTTAGGCGAAATCCTCAGTTGGTATGATTGAACCAGTGTTTGTGTGGTGGCTCTCTTTAATTTTTCAACCCCTCTCGCAAATGCCGAAATATGTTCAACGTTTTTTTAGTGCTTCTCTTTTGTATGCCGTTCATTTTGGCGTGCTGAAGCGCAAATTTTTTTTTTGGGTATCGTGCTGCACAACTTAAAAGACGAGTGAATAGAGTCGGATGAAAAACTAGCCTCTTTCGGGTGCCCACTTTTAATTATAACTTGAGATTTAAAGAATTTTTCATTGCTTCCTCATTTTTACTTAGTTTTTGTGGTTGTATCTTTTTGCTACTTCTACAGCGACCGATCCACAGCAACTCTTGTCCAATTTATAGTTTATTAATCAATGAGATTGGAGTGCATTTATTCACGGCTGAGGGGTCCAGGGTGTCATCCGCCTCCTCAAGGTGGCACGGGCTGCGGCAAAATTGATGACATCTCCCCCTCCCCCACGGTTGGTCCTGCACTGAGCAGGCCGGGGGCTAATAAAAAAGTCCAATTATTAGCTCTTTATTAAACTGATTCTCCTAGTGCCTATGAGTTGTTCTGTAATTGCTTACACGTGTGAGCGTAGTGTATTAGTATAACTCTACTTTTTTC